GCAGTGGCAAAAAATAATTATGCCTATGCACCTTAGTGTGGATTTTCCCACCAATTTACCTTCCCCCTAACAACTTAGTATCTAATCCACTGACGCTATCACTTTCATAACAAAAGAACAATACTTGGATACTCAAAGGATGAGTAGGAATGTGTACTCAAAACTATTCGTTGCCGATTCATACAACTTCGTGTTTTCTTTCAGAATTGTTTATATTATAAATCGTTCTATAAAAATTACCTCTGCAGAAAATCAAATAAAACTAAAGTCATTTAGTTGTTGAAGGGTTCTGAAATCTCTTTTTAGTGTATTGGAGGGTTCTAAAATCTCTCTTTGGCATATTGAAGGGTTTGGAAATCTCTCTTTCAACGTTTGGAAGGGTTTGGAAATCTCTCTTTGAAGTGTTTAAGGGTTTGGAAAAAAGTACCTTAATGTGCAGTCATGATTGTTTGCCAGTTTTCTCAACAAACCAAGGTCTTTGCTTTTTTTTGTTTGTGAGAAAGTACGATATTCATTGAAGAAGAGAAAACTTACAAAGCATAGATGATAGCGTGCATAATGGGTCTTGATAAAAATCTTACCGGGGATTTTAACCCGAACGAAAGAAAAAAGAGTGTCGTGTACAACTAACAAAGTTAACTATCCTCCAAAGAGTACAATCAAAGTAATTACTAATTATGGCAATCCTCAATAAAAGCATCTCGAATTAGGTCCGGTGAATCTTCAAACCACACCATCTCGAATTAGGTCTTTGCTTTTTGCTCACACATATATATAAAATATATGCAGTTACCGTAAGCAATATCTTATTCTCTTCTTTATATGTTATTTGTTTAATAAACATCCATCATTGCTTCTATACGATTGTGTTGAATTTCATGCCTTGTGGGGTAGTTGGGAATGGAAGAAATCATTCTTAAGAGGAAATCTCTCCTTTGACGTATTGAAGGGTTTGGAATGCAATGATATTTTTTATGCTCATTTGGTGCTTAAGATTGATTAGATTGGATTGGACATGATTTAAGCTCAAACGAAAGGTAGAGTGAATGATTTTACATTTTTAAGAGATTAGAAAAACTTATTTCATTTTCGTCTTGTCATTCTTCGGGAATTGAAAGTGATGATTTTTCTTAATTAGAAACTTATCTCTTCTACTTTCACTTTCGACTGGTTACTACAATTTGCATGCATTCTTGTAGAGACGTTGTATCTTTTATTTTCTTGCATGCCGTATACTAAATAGTATTAAAATGAAAACCAACACAATAAATTGATATTGAATTCGCAATTTACACGAGTTAAACTTAAAACGTCATACTTACAAATGAGAAGAAATATCATTAGTTACATAGTACCAGAGGCAAAACAACTTCTTAATCTCCAGTTGTGTTTAGTTGTTTTAGTCATGACCCACGGAGGTCTTCGCTTTTTGGTTTCTTTCATGCCATGAAATTCTCTTCAAACGTAAATAGGGGTTTGGATAACTCTAAGCAAAAATACAATAAATAATAATATTAAAAATAAAATAAAATAAAATCAGCTGAATACCTTTGGTTGCTCCCACACATATACGTGTGTGCCTACTTGTTAGCTATAACTTATAAGCAACCAAACTGAATGCATCTCTCTTCTGGCATTCGCTCTCACTATATCTTCTCTTGTGCATTTGAGTAGTTCTGTTAATTGTTGTCATTAGAACGACATCACTTGTAATCGGGAGGGTTGGATCACTCATTCGCTCTTACCCTCCAAAGGATTCAAAGAAAATTGTTATATTGATGACAAATATTTAAGAGAACTATTATTGACATTGTAAAAATCCAATTTGCACTCCTTACAAGAGTAATTTTGTTTTAAATATAAGAACTTTAAAGTGCATAATTTGTTGTACGTCTAATTTACTGAATCATATAAAGGACAGAGAGAGAGGGTGCGGCACATAGAAAGGAAGAGAGAGATATGTTATTGTGAGGTATGTGTTATCTTATCCCATTGTGCCTTTATTTATAGTAGTAGAGAATGTTAAATTCTTACTCTAATATGATTACAACTCTAATAGGATAATATCTAACCCTAGGGAATATTCCAAGATATCCCTAAATACAAATTTACATAATCACATTCCTAATCTAATATGACTGCAACGTATTTAAATTTTTTAGAGTGCCAATAATAATTCCTATAGTTAATTAAAAATTAATATTTGGAGAACAAATACAAACTTAAAAATAAAAAAATAATTTCCCCGTCTTTCACCTTGAAACCATATTTGCCGATTTACCCTAGTTTCATTTAGCTATTTCCATGGACCATTGTAAATGACCAATTTTCCATTATAGTTTACCCACATTTCACATAAACTGCATAAAAAAAAATGTTATTTTCCCACCCAATATTATTTCTAAAATAACCTTTAATATATATATGCTATAAAAATATATCCCTTCCTCATGCTTGCACTTGCAAAAAAACTGAAATTAAATGATTAAACACCTTCGAAAATGAGTGTGAAATTTGAGAGAGAGAGAGAGAGAGAGAGAGAGGACATTAATAGAAATGAAATGATGGTGTTATAGATGGAGGAAGAAAGAAGTGAGAGAAAGGTAGAGAGAAGTCCAGGGAGAGAAACTAAAGGGGAGGGAAGAAAAGGACCACTAGCATTATTAGAGATGAGCCAAAGCGGATTTTCTCACTCCTCTTGTCTTTTCGGTTTTAGTGTTTTCCAAGTTTGAAAATGGAGCATAAGAACGAAATTTTGGGAATATGCTTTATTGGGTCATTTTCAATCAAAGTTAGTTCAATTATCAAATTCACATTCTTCACAATTGAGGACGCATTTTTCAAGATAATCCGACCTGACATCTCTCAACTCAACTGGAGGGATGATGAGCAAAGAGATTTTTTTTTTCTTTTTTGTGCTGGTCCTTGATGTCATTTTATAAAAAGGTAAAATTGATACTAAATTTTTTTATGAAAAAATGGGGTGAATTAATAAAACAGTGAGGTGGATTTATCACCTCACATTCCGGTCATTAAATATGTATTTGTTATTTTTTTTTTCTTGTACGTATATTTTACAAAGGTTGGATGAAATGTAGGGAAACATGACATAAGTAGCGGCATTGGTCATTTACAATAGTTCGGGAAAAAAAAAATTAGCGAAACGTTCTTTTATTTATTATTTTTATGAAACTTTACCTTTTAAACAGAGAAGATGGACGGTGACAGGGACATCTTTGACATCAGTCTGGTGCTAAAAAAAAAAAAGAGCAAGTCCGTCAACCGTTGTTTAAAAGAATAGTGGTTACGTTTATAGCTCCACATAAAGACCAAGTAATAATACATTAATTTTTATAAAAACTGTTATTAGCACTCTAAAAATTACATTCTACACCCCTCACAAGTGTATTTTTTTTAATTATAAAAAATTTGGGCTTAAATGTTAAAATGATCCTCGTGTTTTAGTCATTGGGTCAATTTAGTCCAAGTGTTTTCAATTTTCCAATTTGGTCATTGTGTTTATCTTCCTAAAGCGATTAAAGACATTTCCATCTAATTTTTGTAAAAAAAAAAAAGAAAGGCTTAAATGTCAAAATGGTCCCTGTGTTATAGTCATATGACCAATTTAGTCTCCGTGTTTTTGATTTGGCTAATTTAGTTCTCGTGTTTGTTCATGTTAGCCCATTAACGACATCTCATTCAATCCCTTTTAAAAAATTCATAAGAAAAATTATATAAGATATAATTACCCTTTCTTTTTACAGAAAAATGAAAATCAATGAGAAATAACACATATAAGAGATAAAACTTCCAATCTGAAAAACGATTAAGGTTGTGACATAGAAAAGAGAGGGGATAATGTTAGGATGAGGTTGGGGAGTTGGGAGGAGAATAATTTTTCTTTTAATATTTAATTTTATTTAATTTTTAAATATTTTAAATCAAATTAATAATTTTATAAATAAGTTTATAATAATTTATTAAAATTTTACAAAAATTAGATGGAAATGTCTTTAATTGGCTAACAGAGATAAAAACAAGGACCAAATTAGCCAATTTGAAAATACAGGGACTAAATTGATTGAATGACTAAAACACAAGGACCATTTTAACATTTAAGCCAAAAATTTGAGTGCAAAATGAGATTTTGGAGTGCTAATAACAATTCCTTTTATAAAACATAGACTAAATTGTACGACCCCGTAAAACACAATGTGCAAAATTTTCTTTACTCTTAAAACAACAAGGCCTTTTTCAATTTCCTTTCACAAGTGGAACTATGAAATTTGTCTTTGACTCAATTGCTCTTCGACACATTGAGGGGTATGGAACACGTACATTAATGTGCGGTTATCGTTTTTTGCGATTGATTGGATAAGGTTCAAGCTCAATTGGAGATAGAGGTGAATGACTTTTCATTTTCAGGGGATTACAATGGGATTAGTCATAAAATAAACTTGTCCCTTTTAGTCATACAATTTTTTGGGAATTGAAGGTGATTGGTTTTCTCAATAAGAAAACCTTCACATTAAACACATTTTTTTTTCCTTTTTGCTTTGACATACCTTGATATAATGGAGTTATTCAAGAATGCTGGATATAATGGAGTTATTCAAGAATGCTGGAGAAGAAGAAATCTTTTACTACAATTTAACCCATTTCAGCCCATAAACCTTTCTCTTTACTACAATCTAGCCCATTTCAATGGAGAAGAAGAAACACATATTTGGTTTTCTTCATGTGATTTCAAATTTGAAACTTTGTCCCTTTTCACTGTGGAAAATCTCTCTCACTTATTGAAGGGTTTGGAAAATGTACATGAATGTGCGGTCAAGGTTGTTTGCAATGAAATACTGACTTTTATGCTCGTTTTCATATGCGGCCCCCTCTCGAGTCCATGACCACACACACAACAAAATAATACATAGCCACGTTTGGTTGCCCCTATATATATGATATATTGCAGACTTGTTATTGCAAGAAATATCTAAGTTAAAAAAATGGCTCATGACTTCCTCTTTGTCTTCTTATTCTCTTTCATTATATCTACAACAAATATTCATGCAAGCAAAGACATAGAATGCACCACTCTCATGGCCTTCGCCCGCACGCTATCTTCCCCTCCTGTAAATTGGAATACTTCTGTTGATTACTGTCGTTGGAATGGCATCATTTGTAATCAGGAGGGTTGGGTCACTCATTTGCTCTTACCCTCCAAAGGGCTCATAGGAGGTATGTTTGTCTCATCACTTGCAAATCTCACATATCTCACTCACTTGAACCTTTCCCACAATTCACTTTATGGCACACTTGAAATCAAATTCTTCTCGTCCTTGAATCACCTCAAGATCATTGATTTGAGCTACAACCTTCTTTCTGGAGAGATACTCTTTTCTCTACCACCCAAAAATATTCAGACAATAGATTTGTCAAGCAATCACTTCTATGGTGCAATTCCCTCTTCTTTTCTCCAACAAGCTTGGAATTTGACTAGTTTCAATGTCAGCAACAACACCTTCTCTAGGTATATCCCTACATCTATTTGTCTCCAATCATCTCCTTCCATAAGAGTATTGGATTTTTCCTCCAATGAATTTAGTGGCAAATTTTCTCATGGGCTCGGGGGGTGTTCCAAATTGCAGATTCTTCGTGCTGGTCACAATAATTTGTCAGGATCACTTCCGGAAGACATCTATAATGCTACCAAACTTGAGGAACTTGTATTACCTCTCAATTCACTAAATGGAGCCATTAGTGAAAGAATTGCCAACCTCACCTACCTCACAATCCTTGACCTCTATTTTAATTATTTGAGTGGTGTGATCCCTCTCAATTTCGGGAAGCTCTCCAAGTTGAAATTCATGAATTTTGATTCCAACAACTTAGAAGGTAAGTTGCCCTCATCTTTGATGAATTGCACAAACCTCGTAGAACTACATTTGGGATTCAACTACTTGGAAGGAGACCTCACCACGCCTAATTTCTCCAAACTCAGCCACCTTAGTAAACTTGACCTAATTCGGAATAACTTCACTGGTGTCTTGCCGATAAGCCTTTACTCATGCAAGTCCCTTAAAGCAATTCGGTTGAGTGTTAATCCTGATGTAGAAGGACAAATACAACCTGAGATTCTTTCATTGAAATCCTTGTCCTTCCTCTCGCTTGGTAATTTACGGTTGACCAATCTCACAGGGGCAATTAAGATATTAATGGGTTGCAAAAGTCTTCGCACACTCATCCTTGGTGGTTCGTTTTCCCACGAAGCAATGCCAACTGATGATGACATGATTGATTTTCACGGATTCCAAAATCTTCATTTATTGAGTTTGACTTCATGTAGGCTCACTGGTCAAATACCTGGTTGGTTATCAAACCTAAAGAATCTAGAGTTGTTATTTCTAGCTAATAATCAAATCACAGGGTCAATTCCAAGTTGGTTGGGGAATCTTCCAAAACTCTTTTATGTGGATTTGGCATACAATAAGATTTCAGGTGATTTTCCCAAACAACTTTGTAGATTACCAAGGTTGGAGGTGAATGCACCCCCAATAGGCAATTATGAATTTGAACTTCCCATCTCTAGCTCCGTATATAAAAAGGTATATGTTTGGGCTCGTCGAACGTATATTGTTCGAGGTTTAATTGACCTATCAACAAATAACATTAATGGTAGTATACCTACTGAGATCGGCCAATTGCAGTCTCTTGGATATTTGTTTCTTGATCACAACAACTTCTCCGGCAACATTCCAAACCAAATATCTAACTTACAGTATTTAGAGACTTTGGACCTTTCCATGAATCATTTGTCCGGAAAAATCCCTTGGTCCATGACGAGCCTTAATTTCTTGAGCATTTTTAATGTCTCGACGAATCATTTGTCCGGAAAAATCCCTTGGTCCATGACGAGCCTTAATTTCTTGAATGAATTTGATGTCTCATACAATAATCTAGAAGGAAAAATACCAACGAGCACGCAGCTCCAGAACTTCAATGCTTCTGCATTTGAGGGGAACCCTAAACTCTGTGGTGCTCCACTTCCAAATGAGTGCAGAGAAATTGATGCATATAACAAGAATATCGTCGACCAAGATGCCAACAACAAAGGTGATGAGCTTCCCTGGTTTTATATTTTTGCCACCCTAGGTTTCATTGTCGGATTTTGGGGAGTTTGCGGCTCTTTATTTCTTAAGAAGACATGGAGGTATTCGTATTTTCAGTTTCTGGATAATGTACAAGATTCGCTCTATGTGAAGATGGCAGTATGCATGGGCAAGATGAAGAGAAGGATTAGGGACTAGATTCTATGTTTTACTATATATTTTTCAGTTTCAATCAAACTATATGGATACACAAAATTTACATATATTTGCTGATCCACTCTCTAATGGAAGTCCTACCACTGTATGCAGATGTACACATTTGTATTAGGGAGTTAATAAGTAAGTGTGTAATGTTCGCGTACGAAAATAGCATCACTCTTTCAGTTTCTATTTTTGTTATTTGTATGTTTTCATTCTGATGTAATCTTTGTTCTTATATTATAGTGCAATAAACCTATTTGGTCACACAAAATTTTGCACATTCGTTGACTCACTTTTTAATGCATGTGTTTGTTACCCCATTGTATGTGTCTATATAAGTCTCACATGTATTAGAGTGTATGTCAACAAATGTATCATTTCGTGTGTTCAAATAGCATCACCATTATTAATTTATGCTTCAAGTTTCACCATGGTGTAAGTCGAATGTCAACGTTGATGAGAAGATACTTATTATTTGTTGGCAAATTTGGTCTCAAAAGAATATTTTAATCTTTCAGAGAAACCCCTCCTAACACAATGATTGCAATTAACAATGTGAAGCAGTTTTTGTATGAATTATGGGATATATAAAATGGTTTTATTTTGGCACAATGATTGGGACCGCACTGTATTTTACAATGTCATTTAGAATTACGATTTAGTGATATCATTTTTCAGTAAGAAGTCTCAATTCGAATCTTGTAAATGACATGTTCGATACCAATTTAGTGCACCACCCCTTAGTGTAGTAACGTTTATGTAATCATGATTTTACAAGGTTCTCAACCTTCCTTGTCACAGACCGTCCCGAAATTTCATTTATCGTGGATGTAAAATGACGGAATAGCCCTTAAAGGCTACTAAGGTATGTGTGACATGTTTAATTGAAGAATGCATACTCTCCTAAATTCGTGGAAAATAAATTAAGTGGATTAGTCACACGTGTGGCTGTTGTCCATAAACTGCATTCTCCGCACCGGTAACTCAGATTAACAAGCTCAGGGTTTACCACCCTGATTATCTAATCAAATTTATTTGATTTGATAAGTTAGAGAATTTACATCGAAAACTTTAACTTTTGATGGATATTACATGTCGGTTGGGTTTTGAAGTTAAACATCCAATCCCATGTTCATACCCAGAACGACCCAGCAGAAGAATTCATTAAACGCCTTCAAATGATTGCACGATTGATTGGTCATACATACCAAAGTTCCCAATCTCTACTTGGGGCCATGCAATATTGCAAGCAACCATGTTGGTCTGCCTGAGGCCCGTCAAGACCCAACCTTATAAAGCACGTGTCAGTTGGTTACCAGATACGAACTCAACATATTGTATATGCACATCTTTGGTTGTGTGGTCTATGTGCCATTTGCGCCGCCCTTAAGTACAAAAGAACAAAAGGGTCATCAGGGAAGGATGGAAATCTATGTCAGTTATGATTCTCCTTCTAATATTTATTACTAAGAACCTTTGCCAGGCGATCTCTTTACTGATCGTTCTGCAGATTATCACTTTTATGAGACAGGCTTCCCATCGTTAGGGGGAGATAAGAACGTCAACGTTCCTAAAGAACGACGTGAATTATCGTGGACGTCCCCACTATGTCTCATCTCGATCCCAATCTAGATCATCAGAATATAACCAGACACTTCCTCTGATCTAGCAAAAGTGACGAGATCACATATACCAGTTGCAAATGTGTCTGCAAAGAAGAATGTACCAAATGTACGACAGACCTTCATCCCGAAAGTAGGAACGCCACAATTGTGGCCAACCCTCATACATTGGAGGCTAGCCAATCAATTTGTCATACGCCAAAAGCTTGATAGATCACTCGGTTCGAGGATTCACTTCCCCAAAAGTGGAGGAACATGGCATGAACTAATCCGCCCCTTGATCGATGTCTCAAACCTTTTCATCTCATGAGATTAAATCTGGATTACTCCTGAGACCTGAAGTTCTTGGTCATGTATACTAGTTTGGATAAGATATGGAATTGGAATGAAATTATCATAGATGATGTTTCATGATAACTACCGACATAAATGAAAAACGACGATAACGAACCACATTCCGTTGATTAATATCGACGTAGAACTGATTGGTTAACTAGAAGAATCAATTGATGACGGATGAGATGAATGAAATAGTGGGAATAATGTCTTGTGGTGTAAGGTTTCTCTCATACGCCATGTGATTAATTGCAGCATTACAAACGTGGTTGTAGTATATATGAGATTGTGATACGAACCTACATGGAGTTTCCAAATGACTTACATGTACTGATTCAAATAGTTCTAGACCATAAGAACATCCTCTCGGTTCTCAAGAGGCCTTCACTTTACGAATGCAGAACTATCTGGGTAGATGTGGTATATCCGTCTAAGTGAATATTTGATTAGTTAGGGATATATGCCCATGCGTGTACAAAATCTGAAATTGCTAGAGTTGAGAAAATTAACTCGCATGTCGGACTATAAGATGGATGATCTTGGAAGAACTCGACATTACCTCGACCTGAAGTTTCGAGCTAGTTATGATGGTATTTTGGTCCACCACTTGAACTAGACCCATAAGGTGTTATGTTTAAGTATACCCTGATCGTCTGTATGCTAGATGCAAATGAGACCTTTACGGATGGTATGAAGCATAAGGTTCCATATTGGAACGTAAGGTAGCCATATCTAAGTACCATAGGCGTTTGTTGTACTTAGCTCAAATGCACTAGATCAGACATCTTATGAGCTGATAATCTTTTCGCATAAAGTAGCACTGCGCCTAACACGCCACCACCAAATTTGGTGTTAAACACGTTTTTCCGTTACTATGGATTTGAACTTATCTATCCCTATGCATCTCATAATAGATCACACTCCCTTGATCTTTGGAATGATGCCTACCTTGTAGGATTGCTGAATCAGACTATCTGTCTGACCGCACAAGGTACGTTCCCGAATGGTTATGTCTTTACCATTAAGGAACATTGCAATATTTTAGAGGTCAACTAGATAGACCTTTGTTGCGAAACCCTTCAAATCATTCCAAGACTCACTGTATCTCATCACATGAGAGATATAGTCAAGAACTATTGTTGAGCATATTCAAAATCCCTGCGATTTTCATCCATCGTTGAGTCCCAACAACGATCCATGAAGACAACGCCGTATGTATCGACTAGATCATGATACATCCAACAAGTCAACACCAAGCACATTGTGTCTACATTAGCATGATCATCAGAAGATTGAAGTCAAGCAGTTCAATCCCAAACAACCTTGCTGACCTCTACACGACGTCACTGCCAAAGTTTACCTTTCCAGAAGCTCGTCCAAGGAATTGGTATGCGTAACTTTCTCACTTGTGATGCTTGTAGTTTCATTTGGAAGTTTTGTCAAACTCAGGGGAAGTATCCATAAGTATACTCACTTGATTACTGAGAGAGCAAGTTTCTCTCCTCCTTATTACTATAAATAAAGGCACAAGGACTGAGGAAATAGCACGCAATTCCTCAAGTCTATTCTCCATCTTTCTTTCTTCCCTTTGCCACACCCTTTAGTAAAATATAGGCCACAAGAATTTCATTTGTTATATATATTCAAGAATACTGCAGGGTGATGGCATGCAGCTCATAAACCTTTTACTAGAATCTAACCATTTCAATGGAACACAAATGTTACGTGATTTCAAATATTAAACTTTGTCCCTTTTTATGGATGTTATCTTAGAGAATATCCTTATTTTGTTATTTTTCAAGGAATCCTGAGTTTTAATGTTACCCACAATCCTTCAAGACCATTGGATAATCATTTCGTTTTGGGAGTGATTGATTTTTCCAGCCCTTGTTTACCTCTTTGCATTCCTCTGTTTAGATCCCTAATGGGAAATTTTTTTTTTAATAATATCAATTCATCATGCTGATGGTGCTTTACTGCAGTGGCGGAAAATAATCATGCTTATGCACTTTGGTGCGGATTTCTCCACCGATTCCTCTTCCCCCTAACAAAGTATTTAATCCACTAACGCTATCACTCTCCTAACAAAAAGAACAATACTTAGTTACTCGAAGTTTGAATAGGATTTCCTACTCAAAATTGTTCGTTGCCGATTCATATAACTTCATATTTATGATTAGATAAATCGCTCTATAAAGATCGTATTTGCAAAAAATAAATTAAAACTAAAATCGTTTTGTTGTGAAGTGTTCGGAAATATCTCCTTGGCGTAATGAAGGGTTCCGAAATCTCTCTTTGGCGTAATGAGGGGTTCGGAAATCTCTCTTTGACGTATTGAAGTGTTCGGAAATTTCTCTTTGACGTGTTGAAGGGTATGGATAAATGTACCGAAACATGCGGTCATGGTTGTTTGCCAGTTTTCTAAGTTTGGCCCCATCTTGACCAACTGAGGTCTTCGCTTTTTGCTTATAGATATATAATGTCTTCCTCCTCCGTTTCTTATTCTTGTTTAATGACCATCCTTGACTGCTTTTATATGATTGTGTAGAATTCTATGCCTTGACTCGGGAGGGGCTCCACTTGCTTTCTATGGCCTGGTTAGGTAGTTGGGAATGGAAAAAATCAATCTTAAGAGGAAATCTCTCTTCCACGTATTGAGGGGTTTGGAAATCTCTATTTGACGTGTTGAAGGGTTTGGAAAATGTACAATCATGTGCGTTCTTGGTTGTTTGCCAAATTCTCAGTTTGCAATATGATAATTTTTTTTTATACTCATTTGGTGCTTAAGATTAAAAGTGATGATTTTTCTTGTTGAGTAACTTATCTTCTACTTTCACTTTAAACCGGTTACTGCAATTTTCATACATTCATATAGGGTTGTACTCGTATCTTTTGTTTTCGTGCATGTCGTATACACCACTAAGTAATATTAAAAGGGAGCAAACAAATTAAATTGATATTGAACTTTTATACAACTGCAAGAAGTTAGGGATCATTCTTTGTAATTTTATTTCAGATTTCAATTTCTGAGAACAAGTC